AAAAGATTGTGTAGCTGCCGTTCCAGTTCAGTGTCCTGCATCAAAAATTACTGGAATACACCAGTCTTGCATTACCAAACAATCGCGAACAGCTAACAGTTCGTTATTTTTATGGACTCAAATATGCATTCGTGTTTGGCCACATGTTTGGCCATCTTAAGGTCCAAAATGTTTCGCTTGGTAAAGACGGCATGAGCAAAAATTTTCGTGCGTTTCTTGCACTTTTGCACGAGAGAAACGTACACCGTGGTGAAAACACAAGTTCCTTTCCAACCTTAAATTTTTGTAGTTTCCTAATGTTATTACGTTATCGACTAGAGGTAACAGTAGGCATATTTATGGGATAGTAATAATAAAAACCCAGGCTAGAACACACCAGGCGGGCCCGTACAATCGTGCGTTTTTGCACTGGATTCGAATTACTCAGGTCACTACTGTACGAATGGCTATTGCTTTACACCTGCCTTATGCGATCACGAGCATAAATCACCATAAATTTTGCAAAGTAGATGTACAATTTCCACTTAACAGTCGTTCTTTAAAAGTAACCTAGTTATTCAATGAGAAATTTTTTGGTCAAGACTTTTAAGTGCCCGTACGTAAGAACCATGCATAATTCAAGGCTTAATTTGAAATACTTAAGTTGTACTTGGACAGGGAATATCCCCTCAAAATTTCAGATTTCCAGATTTCCTGGTACCGAGTTAACAATTTTCCCGTCAAAACCTTCACACACCCGTACTTGGGTATTCCACATGCTTAGAAAGCTGAATTTGAAATTTTTAAATTGCACGTGAACAGGGAACATCCGCCTAAAATTTCAGCCTTCCAGCTCTTCTGGTTGCTGAGTTAGTAATTTCCCCCTAAAACTTTCGCACGTCCTTACGTGAGTACCAATCATAGCATTGGGGCTCAATGTGAAATCTGTGGGTAGTAAATGCATAGGGAATATCCCTATAAAATTTCAGCTCATGTGGTTCCCGAGATCGCTTTCCCGCCAAAAAATCTGCATATTCTTTTAAACGTCCGCACGCGGTACCCAGGCGTCCGAGGGGAATGAAATTAAAACGGGAGGGTCACGCATGGTATGAGCACATGCTCCCAACGTTTCAGCCTTCTAGCTTTTATGGCTCTCGAGTTGTAAGTGGGTGACAAAAAGTGCAAACACGCGGACACGCACAGACACACAGACACGCATACACACAGCCTCTTCGCAATATGCGTTATTGCAGTTTGCATATATGCAAAAACGTATAAAAAACGGAGGAAGGTAAGGTCTGATGTTGGCGGACGGCGTCCTGATGTTGGTAGACGTCGTCCTGGTCGATGCGAAAACGAATTTTAACACTAAAAATTTGCCGAAAAAATCGGCTACTGAGCCCATCTGGACCTCTGCCTCGCTCCGGCTGGGTCCAGCTTACAAAAAGAGCTGATTAGTGTTGACGCCGCTGAATGACGCTGCACCGTTATTACAAAGGCGATTACGGTATCCCAAAAATCCAAATTTATGTTAATTTTATATGTCTTTTGCTTCCTTTGTTTCCTTTCCTCATTCGAGGCGTTTTTCCTCGCTACGCACCGATGGAATTTTCCGCTCTCTGATACTACTCTTCAGTCAGTACACAAACAAACTGACAGCAGAAATTTTAGAAATGCACTCTTTAGCTCACCATTTGCTGCGCACTTTATTATCAAACTGACATTTTTCAGTTCTCAAATTATGATCTCACGTAAGTGAAGTCAAATTTGCATGCAACCAACATTTCTGCTTTTATGCGTTTTTGTATACTTACAAATGCAGAAATCCATATTGTGAATGCCCACATGGGAAAATAGCGGAAGCAAAAAAGCTGGAAAGCTGAATTTTAAAGGAAGTATTTCTGTTCATGTACTTCGTAGATGCACAATTAAATTCCTGAACTTCAATGACCAATATGTCACAAATACCAGCTTCTGGGATTTCAAGCGATCTTACTACAAAAATACAGCAAAAACCATAGTAGCATGGGCCGTCTGTTGCGCTTTGCCAGTGATATTTTGTGATATTAGTGACAGACGCCAGGAGCAGGCTGTTCGCCAAGCTACGCTCCACGGGCATAAACAACATGAAAAGTAGATAGCGGACTTCGCCGTGAATTGCAACTGATCAAAATATTTGTGCTACCTGGGCCATTTTTGTTGTGGCATTTGCTACTTGGAAGGCTTTAAATAATTTCATGGTCTACTGGAGCAAAATTGAAGGTTAGGTTTTTATCTGCATATAAATTTGAATCTGTTCTCTTTTCCGTCGTGGTCTTCCCAGTGCTTCCGCCTATACCTTTAGGCCAAAGAACTTGTAATTTCGCTTTCTGCTGGCTATTACAGGCAACCACCACAGAGAAACAGCAGTTCTGAAAGTCGATCGACAAACAATAAACAGCTTACTATTTCATGATCTTTATGTGCAGTTCAATTTGCAGTTCGCTGCATCATTCAAAAACTGTCTTAAATTTTAAACCCAGGCTGGAACGCATCGGGCGGGCCCGTGCAACCAAGCGTTTTTGCGTCGGACTTGAATTATCCAGGTCATTAAATGTGTGAATGGCTGATGCTTTACACCTACCTTTTGCAGTCACTAGCACAAATCACCATAAATTTTGCAATGTAAACGTACAATTTCCATTTAGCAGTCGTTCTTTAAAAGTAACCCAGTTGTTCAGTGAAGAATTTTTCTGCCAAAATTTTTAAGTGCTCGCAATTAAGAACCACGCATGCCTCAAGCTAAATGTGAAATACTTAAATTGTACTTGAACAGGGAACAATCCCCCAAAATTTCAGCCTTCCAGCTTTTCTGGTTGCCGAGTTAGCAATTTTCTGGCCAAAACCTTCACATACCCGTACGTGGGTACTCCACGTGCCTGGAAAGCTGAATTTGAAATTTTTAAGTTCCACGTGGACAGGGAACATCCTTTTATAATTTCAGCCTTCCAGCTCTTCCGGTTGCCGAGTTGACAGTTTTCCCAATAAAACTTTCATACGCCCTTTTGTGAATACCACGCATAGATTGGGGCTGAATTTAAAATATTTGGGTTGACATCCCCCCAAAATTTCAGCTTTTTAGCTTTCTTGGTACCCGAGTTAGCAATTTCCCCTTAAAACTTTCATAAGCTCTTCCGTGAGTACCACTCACATCTGGGGCTGAATTTGAAACATTTAGCTAGGACGCGCACGGGAAATATTCCAACAAAATTTCATCCCTTTAACTCATGCCGTTTCCGAGATTGCTTTCCCGCTAGAAAATCTGTATATTTTTTTAAAACTTCCGTACGCGGCACCCAGGCGTCCAGGGGGAATGAAATTAAAACGGGAGGGTCGCGCATGCTATAGGCACATATCCCCAAAGTTTCAGCCTCCTAGCTTTTCTGTTTCTCGAGTTGAAAATGGGTGACAAAAAGTGTGAACACACAGACACACAGACACACACAGCCTCTTCCCAATATGCGTTTTTGCAATTTACATATATGCAAAAACGCATAAAAACGAATAATGATCTAAAATTATGCACAGTCAATTACAAATTGATCGCTTTTTATGCTTTTTTGCGTATATGCAAATTGCAAGAAAGCATATTGGGAAGAGGCTGTCTGTGTGTGTGTCTGTGTGTTCGCACTTTTTGTCGCTCATTTTCAATTCGAGAAAGGTAAAGCTCGAAGGCTGAAACTTTGGGGATATGTTCCTATTACCATACGCGACCCTCCCATTTTAATTTCATCCTCTGCGGACGCCTGGATGCCGCGTACGAACGCCTTAAAAAAATATGCAAATTTTTTGGAGAGAAAGCGACCTCGGGAACCACACGAGCTAAGGGGTAAAAACTTTGTAGGGACATTCCCTGTGCATGTACTAGCTAAAAATTTCAAATTCAGTCCCCAGATTTGCGTGGTGCTCACATAAGAGCGCATGAAAGTTTTAGCAGGAAAATTGTTAATTCGGCAATCAAAAGAGCTAGAAGTCTGAAATTTTAAGGAGATGTTCCCTGTCCACGTGGAACTGAAAAATTTCAAATTCAGCTTCCCAGGCACGTCGAGTACCCACGTACGGGAATGTGAAGGTTTTGGCGAGAAAATTGCTAACTCGTTAACCAGAAAAGCTGAAAGGCTGGAATTTTGGGGTAATGTTTCCTGTCCAAGTACAACTTAGGTATTTCACATTCAACTTGTGATATGGGTGGTTCTTAAGTGCGGGTACTTAAAACTCTTGGCGGAAGAATTTTTCATTGAACAACTGGGTTACTTTTAAAGAACGATTGTTAAATGAAAATTTTGCATTTACTTTGCAAAATTTACAGTGATTTATACTAGTGACCGCAAAAGGTAGGTGTAAAGCAACAACCATTTATGCATTTAATAACCTGAGTACTTCAAGTCCAGTGCAAAAACACGTGATCGCACGGGCCCGCCCGGTATGTTCCAGCCTGGGTTCTAAAAATCGCGTTTATTTAGAAATGTACAAGCTGGAAAAGAGATGCTCGTTGGAAACGGAGCAAGAAGAAGCCAAATTAGGAGAAGCGTCTCGGCGAAGGATCATCTGCAAAGCATCACATGATGGTATCCAGGCTTACTGCCTTTGTCTCGATAATTACTGTAATAAGGAAAGCCTGCTGAAACAAGCAGAAAAAGAAGCCAAGACGAGGTTTGCTGCTGCATTTAATAATTCTCGTGTAATTTACAGCATTTCATACGCTTTTCCTTCGATACTTCAATTCGCTTAAATGACCTGAAAAAGTATCGGTTCTGACAGGGCCTGAGGTCCTGGTTGCCGAGTTGAAAGTGGGTGACAAAATGCACTCGCTTTGCGCGCACACACACACACACGGACAGCCTCTCGACAATATGCCTTTTTGCTGGCTGTAGCAGCGCTATAGAGCTGCACAGCAAAAACGCGTAAAAACACTGGCGACCAGTCGGTGTAGCAATAATAAAACCCTAGGCTGGAAAGCACCATGCTTGCCGGTTCGATCACGCTTTTTTTGCGCTAAAATTACTTCAGCCTAATCATTAAAAACATAATTGTTTCCGGCGTAACAGTTTAACATATGGACGTATGTTAGCTGTGTTTTAGCGCTTTCTTGCATACAGGTTAGTGCTGCATCATGGAGCTGCATTAACCTACTGTGTATGATGATTAATTTTTTGCATGAAACCCAGACGCTTTCCGGTGGAAGGTCGTTCGTCGGAAAAGTGCGGATTTGAAGGAAGTCAGAAGAGGATTACGAAATCCGCAAAATGCACTCGATTTTGAATTTACGTTAAAATTGAGTATTTTTAACGTCTTTATGCAGAGGATTTCACCTTCAGGCTTAATTAAGGCCACGTATGAATTTGGAATATCCCTACAAAGATTCAGCTTTCTATCTTTTCTAGTTCACGAAATTGTTCTTCGTCAAAGAAAATTTGCATGTTTTTTTTTTTTTTTGTAGGGAGAGGGAAAAGGAATCATACGCTAGATCTAGGCCGTATGCGCCATGCTTTAAAAAGGAAAGATGACAGTGAGGTGGGAATACCCCACTTCCCCCAAAATTTCAGCCTCCCAGCTTTTCTGGTCGCTGCGTTGGCAGTGGGTGACAATGTTCGCTTTCGAATACAAACACAAATGGCCTCTCGACTACATATGTTTTTGTAGCAGCGCTGCGCCGCAATAACGCATAAAAATCTTTAGACGTAGAGACTTTCTAAGGATTTTCTAGTGCTTAAAAAATACATTTTCCTTTGAAATGATTTGAAGTGGCGATGCAAAGGATTCACTGAATGATTCATTATTCACTGGAAATGGCGAATCGATCACTTCAGCAGCAGTGCAGCGATCCTCTGCAACATCTCTTCAGGTGCTACGTCAGAAGTCGAAGTTTTCTTTAATTCTTCGCACTAGAAAACCCAAATTCTTTATGTTTGTCAAACTAGCGGGTGAGGCAGCTGTTTATATTTCAGTTATCCTTCAGGTGTTGGTGAAACCTGAAGCAACTTCCAGGGCCACGTCAACGACGCCGCCTCAGAAGCGACCTAGTATAACTTCTACAAGGTGTGTTTCACGGTCAAAACGAAGGTTCATCCACGTTTCATTATTTCAGTAAAATTTAGCTGAAGTGCCTGAGTATGACTGCATGCTGTAGCTTAAAAAACTTTTGACTTCCGCACTATATACAGAGAGCACTGAAGTACTGATTAGTCGTAAATAATGGAGGAATGATTTGCCGCACAGCAAATCCAACAGTGTCAGGAAACTCAGCGACTGTTGAAGAAGCAAGATTTTTGCGTTTTTGCTGTGCAATGCTATAGGAGCGCTACAGTCTGCCACAGCCAGCAAAACCGCATGTTATCAATGAGGTTGTTCGTGTGTGTGTGTGTGTGTGTTTGTGTATGTACACGTGTTCGAAAGCGAGTACATTTTGTCACCCATTTTCATTTCAGTAACCAGGAAAGCTAGGAGGCCGACATTTCGGGTATATGTTCCTACCTCATGTGTCACCCCTCCTTTCGTCTTAAGATCTTCCCCCATACGCGTCTAGACCCCGATTACAGCCTCCCGAAAAAAATATGCAAATTTCTTTGGCCGGAAATGATTCTTCGAACCAGGCAAGACACAAAGCTGAAATTTTGCAGGAATATTCTCAGTGCACGTGCGAGCGAAAGATTTCAAATTCAGATGTCGCGCACGATTGTGCAGCGCGTACGATAACGTCATAGTTTGCAAATTGATGCTGTACTAACCCGAAAACTTGCCGAAAAACAAATTTTGTCAGCATTTTTAACACCCATATGGGAAATAGTATACCAGAAATGACTACTGATTTGCACTTGTGCCACCGCTTAGGGCACTTCAAAGATATTTGTAGCGAACTGGATATTTTGCTTACCGGATAAGCTGCGAGGCTGAAAATTGGTTGGAGAATTCTACTTTCAAGTACGGACTTAATTCTGCTTGGAGGTGAAATTCCTTGTGGGTAGACGTGAGAAATACTCAACTTTACCGAAAAATCAAAAACGAGTGCGTTCTGCAGCAAACGACCGCCTCATTCAAATATGTAAATGAACATTCTTTTCATTTGTATACTTGGATTTTTTGACAAATGACCGCTCTAGCAAAATTTCCACTTTTTAGTGAACTGGAAATTTTCATTCGAAAAATTTGCATTTTCCATTTTTATGCGTTTTTGTATATATGCAAATTGCTACCCGGGCCGGAACGCACCAGACGAGCCGGTGCGATCAAGCATTTTTGCACCAAACTTGAAATAATTAGGTTAACTGCATGAACGGTTGTTTATTCACACCTTCCTTGTGCGCTCAGTACCGTAAATCATCACAAATTTTCCACAAAAGGAAATAAAAAATTTCCGTTTAACGGTCGTTTTTTGAAAATGAACTAGCTGTTCAATAAGTACTTTCCCCCAAAAACTTTAAATGCTCTTATACGAGAGCCACACGTAAATGGAGGCTGAATTTGAAATCTATAAGATGTATGTGGACGAGGAATATTCTCCTAAAATCTCAGCTTTCCAGCTTTTCTGGTTCCCGAGTTAGCAGTTTTCCCACTAAAACTTTCACAGGGCTGCATATAACCTGGGAGCATACCTTGGAGCTGGGTTTGGAATTTTTAAGCTTTACGTAGCCTGGGAGTAACCCTTTAAAATTCCAGCCTCCCAGAATTCCCGGACCCCAAGTGGGTGCCTAGGGTTCCGTGCAGCCCTATGAGAGTTCCTAGCAATTTTCGTGCCAGTAACCCTCATGGGGCTGCACGCGGGAACCACGCATACCTTGGGGCTGAATATGAAATCTTTGAGTTATATGTGAACGGGGAAAATAACCACAAAATTTCGGTTTTCTACCTTTTCTCGTTACCAAGTTATCAATTTTCCCGCCAAAACCTTCACCCTCTCGTTTTTTGGACTTGCGCGAGGGCTGGTACCGAGGTTTTGAGTGGTACTTGACCAGGGAACACACAAGCAAAATCTTGGCGCTGGAACTTCCTTGGTTGCCGAGCTGAAATACCCGGACAGACGAGCACACACATACACACATACACAGGCAGGGTTGTTGCAACATGCGTTTTCCAATTTTCATTTAGGCAAAAACGCATAAAAACGCATGTTGGGGAAGAGGCTTTGTGTGTGTATCTCTGTGTTCGCACTTTTGTCACCCACTTTCAACTGATGAACTAGAAAAGCTAGAAGGCTAGTTGAAACTTAGGGAGTATGTGCCCATACCATGCGCGACCCTCCCATTTTAATTTCGTTCCCGGAGGACGTCTGAGTGCCGCGTGCGAATGCTTTAAGAAAATATGCAATTTTTTTGGCGGGAAAGCGATCTCGGGAACCAGACAAGACAAGGGGCTGGAACTTTGTAGGGATATTCCCTGTGCATGTGTTAGCTAAAGATTTCGAACTCAGCTCTCAGGTATGCATGGCACCCAAATAAGGGCGCATGAGAGTATTGGTGGGAAAATTGTCAACACGGAAACTAGAAAAGCTAGAAAGCTGAAATTTGGGGCATTGTCCTCTGTTCAAGTACGACTTAAATATTTCAAGTTCAGAAAGTTTGTGTGGTACTCACATAAGGGCGTATGAAAGTTTTAGCGGGAAAATTGTTAACTGGGCAACCGGAAAATCTGGAAGGCTGAAATTTTGGGGGAATGTCCTCTGTTCAAGTAAAATTTAAGTGTTTCAAAATCGCCCCCAGCTATTTATGGTACTCACGTAAGGAAGTATGAAAGTTTCTGCAGAAAAAATACTAACTGGAGAACCAGACAAGCTAGAAAGCTGAAATTGTAGAGCAATATTCCCTGTCCAAGCACAACTTAAGTGTTTCGAATTCAGCCTTGTAGCACACAGGGCTCTTACGTACGAACATTTAAAAGTTGTCCAAGTACAACTTAAGTATTTCAGATTCATCTTGAGGTATGCGCGGTTCTTAAGTGCAGGCACTTAAAAGTCTTGGCAGAAAAATTCCTCGCTGAACAGCTAGGTTACTTTTAAAGAATGATCGTTAAATGGAAACGGTACATTTATTTTATGCAAAATTTATGGTGATTGTGCTAGTGACCACAAAACATAGGTATAAAGCAACAACCGTCACGCAGTTAATGACCAGAGTACTTTAAGTCCAGTGCAAAAACGAATGATCGCACGCGCCCGCCCGGTGCGTTCCAGCCTGGGTTTCAAAAAGCGAGCATCTGCCGAAAAAACGATCAGGCTTCATGCAAAAACCTGATAATCATGCACCTGAAGATCTGTGCAGCTCGATAATGCATCACTTTCATCCCAAACGACGCCCTTCCTCCTGCATGCCGGAAGGAGCCAAAGCACGGCCCTTATGATCCCAAGTGTTAGGCTATAGCGCAGGGATCGTTCTTGCTATTAGCGACCAGCGAACTCAATGCAAAAACACACGATCGCACCGACAAGTCTTTGTAATTGCGTTCCAGCCTGGGTTTGTAATTTTTTAAATCATTTGAAGTGCAAATTCTAATTTGAACTCCTTTTTTGCCAGATTTCACTTCAGGGGCTTATTGAGTGACTTGCACTAATGTGTGTGCTATTACACAGGATAAATCAGCGCAGCGCACGATAGTTTTTGTTCTCACCAAGAAATAAAGCTACTTTTCGAAATTAAAGGCTTAAGCTTTTGATACATTGTGAAAGGGCGTTTTCTTCCTGCCTCACAGCGTATTTTGGCGTCAGTGCTGCAGCAGTGCTTTTCCCTTCCACTGATATATTTCATTACACCAAGTCGGACTGTGAATTTTTAAGTGCTTTTGTAGTAAGCTGTGTGACGCTTCTTCAGGAAATACTGCTTTCCGTCCTCAGCGCACATCCTTACTCCCTCGCCTTTTTGCCATACTAATATCTGTCCACTTTGCTACTGGTAGAAATGAGAGAAGTAAAGTGAAATATAATTATCCTCAAATTTCAGGATTATTTTCGAAGGAAACAGCATAGATCAACGGTGGATGGATACGAAACTCAGCAGTATAGCCCGCAGCTGTTGGCTGAATATTTTTGCTACTGTAATTTGTTCGTTGCTGTGGATACAAACTTTCTAATTTGAAGTGAAACTTGAACTAAGTTTTTATATCGTGTGCAAATGAAGAAAGATTGAAACTGTTTTTTGTACAGTACGTTGCGATTGCAACAGATAAGTGCTTGAACCAAGGAGTCGCTACGATGAGAAGTTACTCAGAGCACAAATATCATTGCAAAAATTTGTGTACAAATATAGATTTCATCATGATGATCTTGAGATGCATCTACTTCACGTAGATTACTAAGCTTCATATCACACGCCTCGTTCTGAATTATTTCACTGTGGTCAGTCTCTAAAAACAACGCGGAATACATCACTTATATATGCTAAAGAGAAGCGAATCTGAGTAGGCATGAGATCTGCACACAGCTCGCGCAAAAATGAGAGGGCAGGAGGGTTAAGGGTGAACGATTATCATAGGCGAAGCCAGAACGGACTTCTCTCCCCCTCCCCTCCGCCGTCCTTCCCGGTGGCCGATACATCGCAAGCCCTATTGCCCCTTCCCTGCTTGTGGCTACACTGGAAGCCTCATTGTTCCTCTTCTTCCCCTCCTTCCGTCTCCCTCTCCCCCTCCCGGTCGTTATATCAAACGTTCCGCTATCCCCCCTCCCCGTCCCAGCCCCTCCACTTCCCCTCGTTGGTTTGCCCTAGACTGCGGCGACAATTGGGGGCAGGGAGGGAGAGGAAGAAAATGCAGCTCCTGCGGGGGAGGGGGGAAGGGGGCAACAGGAGCATAGAAGAGAGTTTGCTACAGTAAGACGACTGCTACCTATGCCCTTGGGTGGGGGAGGGTAGGGGAGGGGCGCGACACCTATGGCCACCCTCTCCTCCCCCCACTCTTCCCCGCCCCCTCGCCCGTCGCCTGGATCCGCCAATGGTGACTCTCCTTTTCGATTTCTCTATATCTCGGGGAGCTCTTCCTGAGTTACAACAAGAGGTAATCCGTGGTTTTGCTAAACACTTCAGACGTTCATCTTATGAAATTCGATATGCAGTTCTAAAAAGCTGACGTTGATCCCGGAATATGTGATGTTTAGCTGAAGAAAAAGTCCATAGATGTTATCAGAGATGAAAACACCTTCATAACTGATAGTGTGAGGTCTGTGACGCCCAGACTAGAATTTCCGCCCATGGAAACACCTTGTGCATGCTGAGCGCACACACGTAAAATCCCTTCTAGAACTGTATAGAGTGTCGCCTTTACTTTGCTTCGGTATAGAAGGTACTGTGAAGTTTTTTCCCTATCAGATGATTATGACTGAGACCTATACATCCCTTTCTCGCGCTAGTAAAATACAACTCAATTAGATTAATGGGGTTTTAAATAATGACAGAGTGAGACAGACTTGTGAATAGGTTTTTGAAATCTGTGTATGCAGGAACTGGGCTCGCTCACTCGTCGTGATGAACTTAACACTGCTTGCGAATTATTAGCACTGAAATACATGGTTTGCCCCTTAAGGCTGTATACGCGGGTAGAGTAATTGCGGAAATGAATCTTAATATGGATCAACATGCGATATATAGTTAGGTCAATGGGCATAAGGTGGATCTGTTCGAAATCGCAATGAACCTGCAACCGTAAGAGCATTTATGCACCTTGGCCACCTTATAGACAACTGAAATGAAACCCAGGTTTGCCGGCGCGTTCTTGCA